GGAATTCGTCCGCCCCCCCTCTCTCTGTCTATCTCTTCCAAGGAGTTGTTCTATTTCTTGTGCTCCACTGATATAAGATCTAGATAGTTGTTTGAGAATACAGTAGAAGATCTTAAGGTATATACGGGATTCCAATAAAATCTATCATTCATCCAAACCGGAGACCAAAACCAGCAAGTGACCATACCACGACGACCAGGACGACGAGTCGAAGAGATCGCCTTCGAGATCGCCGCCAGCTGCTGCCGCACGCGCCCACACGCACCGCCGGAAGACTGTTGATACTGGGACTCACACGCGCGCGTGAGAGCCCGTGGAACCTCCATTTTCCGACCGGTCGATGCCGTTGACTTCGCCATGACGCCAGCTTTCTGAATTGGTCAAGTTTGTTCGATTCCGAGAAGATTTGATTTGCGGTCATCTGTTCAGGCCAGCCAGATCTACATAAATATTAAGTCGTAAGTTTTCTACATCAAACCTTTAGATCCACTGCGCATAGGTTTATGTTGAATGTTTGTCCGTGATTTGTGCATATCGAGATCCTCATGGGTTCCAACAATTGGTATCAGAGCACGAGGTTAATCCGTTATGTACAAGATCCAGATTAAACGGCTTATATTGTCTATGTGTGCTCAAGCGCAGCCATATATATTGGATTATTTGCATAACTTGGTTTTGCAGGAAGTAGTTAATCCACTATTATGGCCACCTTTTTATGTGCTTGTGCTTAATTGATCGTTGGTTGTATGGTTTTATATTTGTTTTTAAAGCCTCATGATTGTCGAGGAATTATGGATGAATGCTTGTATTAATTGCCTGGGGGTTGACCGGATAGTTTAATTTATTAGTAGAAGGCATGTACATCCACTCGCTGGATCTAGGAATTGATTTATGTAATTTTGTAAATTATATTTTTCGAATTGTGATCGACCGTTGGAGACCGGGCCTTCACAAAGATCCAAAGAGCCTCGACGGACAAAGCAAGGAAGAAACCGGGGCCGGGAGCCAAGGCTGGCCGGCGCGGCCTCGGCTGGCAGCTTGGCAACATCCATGGTGGAGGTTTTATGGACCTTGCAGTACAAGTCAACCGGGATTCTAATGCAGTGGGAGTTCTAGTTGGTTTAGGAAAGAAATCCTAATCCAAGGAGAATAAATATTTAATTGGCCATAATAGTGGATATTTATTTATAGCATTAATTATTCATTTATGCATAGAATTAATTCTTGCCTTGTGTGCATAGGGTTATTTAGAATTGCATGAATATATCAGTTTCATCCAGTTCAGTCAGTTATTTCCAGTTTCAGTCCCGGTTTTCAGTTTCAGTGTTATTTTCAGTTAAATTTTGGGTCAAGTTTCAGTTCAGTTAATTACTAGCAGTTCAGTTCCGTACTTAGCCGATT